TGGCAATTTCTTAAGGATGAATATGGTAAAAGACGTTGTTGATGAGTAATATAACTTTTTCAAGATTTTGAAAGATACCGAGCATTCAAAGACAGGGAATAATATTTACGAATATAAAATATTACATAATATAATAGATAATAGTGAATATTATACAGGCAGTTTGTCGTGCACCTAATAGTAAGTAACACTCCCACCCGTCACAGCTGCAGTGCCGATTAGAGCTTTCGTAAAGATCTGAGGGGCGCTACCACTACATCTGTCACTATGAGACATAAAGTTTAACAAGTCCAAAGTGCCTGTAGTTTCCTTTATTTCAAGTTATCAATGACACAATATAATAATATAAACAATAATAGTTAATATATAACAACTACATGCTTAATGCAATATGGTAATGTATAATATAGTAAAAAAATTGAATTTCTTTGAAATAAATTTCTCTACATTGTAAAATCCATTATTCAATTAAACGAGTTTTTGTTAGGTATAATACATTCAGCCGTTTGTAACAGTCTTTGAATTTGCGAGCAGTTTTTCCTAGTATCTGGGCCAATTGAATTTATTGAGATAATAAAAAATAGCCTAAATTACAAGTCTGTAAAAATCCTTCACGTTGGTGCCGAACTTCTTTTCATTTCTTTTTAATTTTTAAGCTGCTGCTATTCCATTGCGGAGTAAAGAATGTCGAATTTCTTTAACTGCAAAATACTTTATAATTGTATTGAGTATCATCGAGAATGTGTCAAATTATCTATAAAATTGTCGAGCACGTCCCTTCACTACTAAGCAATGACGTGACCTTCTCAGCGAAAGTTTAACCGACTTTTAGGAGTAGAGTTATGTTTGCAGGTGCTAGGTCAATGACCTGACATATTTTATTGTGTGAGAAATTGAAAAATCCTTTATGTGTACATCACAATTACATTACACTAAAGTTTAGAGGTTACATTAAAAAGTAGAGAGAAATTTAAAGAGACAGATCTTCATATATGGAATGACATCATTTTTTATCTTGTTTTTAGGTTTTCGCGGTTATTTACACAAAGGAAATGAAACTATTTTTTCAGATGTAAATGGCGTATATTTGTTTTTCGAACAACCAAAGTGTGTTTGGTGAATTAAAAATAAGGTATTTAAATTGATAACTTTTGAACTACCTATATAATTTTTTATTGAATTGATATTCAATTATTTTTTTATGTGAAATCACTCCACTAGTTTATTATAATTATTAATACAAAGATCGAACACTCAGAAAAAATTCCTTCGAACCAGCCAGACTCGAACCATACTAACACATAGAAAAAATTGTGAGGTCCGCTGGTTCGTTCCGTGGTTTGGTTGGTATAGCGTCTGGCACCGTATACTAGAAGACGTCGGTTCGAATCCGGCCGGATCAAAGGAATTTTTTCTGAGTGTTCGATCTTTGTATTAATATTTTTGTAACTATAGTTCAGAATAGAGTAGTTTGTAAATATTATATTCAGGCATCAGTCAGGCATATCTCATGGAAGTCCTTATGAACAGTCCCGTTCTTTCGAGTTATACTTCTCCATGAACTTCGACAAATGATTGATCTCCTTTTTCAGTAACTTTTTGTACAAGGTTGTGAATGGAATCATTAATTGTGACCAAATCCAAGAACGCATAAAATCTGTGTTCCATTTATTTATCCCTGACACAGAATTACAAACCTTGTCGTACAAATATACTTCTGAATTTTCCTTTGGGTAAAATGTGTCGTTCATAAAACAAAATTAATAATTACAATTATATCTGTATATTTAAATCTAAACTGCGTGTCCCTACAGCTTAATAATTTATTTTCATTATTATTTCTTTTCTCTTTCACAAAATATTTAATTATTACAATTGCGCTGTCATGTTTACATCAATCAACTTTTTATGCTTTAAATGGCTTTAATAGACATTTTTGGACTTTAATGAATAATTGGATTATTAATATTTAAAGTTGTTTTTATTTATTATTATACTTACCATTATAATAATTATGATACGTTAGAAGCAGTCTGTATTTTTTGAAGATGGAGTAAATCAAATCAAATCAAATCAAAAATCATTTATTCTCAGACAACTACAGTCCATATTTTACAGTTATAATATTAGCTTAGATAATTCAATATGTTTACACGCATTAAAATAAACAAAAGGCAACTTAAAAACATATAATAATTAAACAAATTAAATTAAATATCAAATACATTATCGACATGGTTTTAAATGCAGTTTCATGCAATGTAGCATGATCGGGCAATCGACTCTACCAGCCATGTAAATTGACAGTTCATTGATCAAAAGTGTTGCCCACTTGCAAGCAACTAGTGATTGCAATCGACTATCGACTGACTGTTGGTTACGCTTAATGCAATAAACTAGCAATTTGAAACATCATCGGCCCATTAATCGTCCATCTGCTGGGCACGGGCTCATTTGAATTGTCAATATTTGTAAATTCATACATTACATTTAGAACTGTCTAGACAAAAAAACAAAGACGAGATTTTAATTTAATATACATAATCAAATGCACCTATCATACTGGAATCATGTACATTTCTAAAACCTAACCCCGAACTCTACAGGGAAAAAACGGTCATTCCGGGATTTAACCTACGCCCTAGAAATCCTCAAATGTTCACCACTGGCACCGTCTCTTGTAAAACAGCTCTTAAGAAAAAAGCGCCCTTAACATGGTGCCTAAACTCTACAACAAACTGCCACAAAGATTAGAAATCCTATCCTTGGATGTATATGAGAAATCTTAGGTATTTCGTCACCCAGTTAGATATCTTTACAGTTACCAACCTGCTCATAGATGGCGCTACGGCTAAAAAGTCGTTGAAAAACCAACACAAAGACAAGTACACCCTATCATGTTACGACCTACGATGACGAATAATGTAATGACTGATTATTAAAATGTGTATGAATAAAAATTTACTTCGATGCCAGTAAGCCAACTGTCAAAATAAGAATAAAGAAGACAATAACGCAATTAGCAATCATTAGAACGTCATAACATTCACAACCCCAGTCATTTTTGGCAAAATTGCATGTTCCTTCACAATTAATCGATAAAACTGTCGACAACAAATAGGTACATCGACTATTTAAAATTTTGTAAAAACTGGCAACCCTGCAAAAGTAATTTTACTCCGTCTTCAAAAGAGACAGTCTATAGATTAAATTATTAAACTGCCTTTGTGGCCGAACGGTTACCGTGCTGGTCTGCTATGCAGAGGTCCTGGGTTCGATTCCCGGGCCGGGATATATATTTCTATGGTCTACATTTATTTCTCTAGTGCGGAGCTATTAACTTAGGACACCTAGACCAGAACTTATTTAGAAAAGTGTCAGTTCAAACTGAAAGCGAAAAATCCATAATGTCTGCCCACCTCAACGAATGGTAGACGTGATAGTACGTTTGTGTGTTTCCAAAATTTGTCATACGGAGAATCGAACCAAAGACCTCATTCTACACCCAGGGCGCTAACTACGAAACCACCGAGATGATTGACTATATTACAAGAGTATATGGAGTACACCCCAGGCCACAGTAGCAATCTCATTAAATATGCAAATCTATACATTGATACAAACTACTTAATGTACCGTTCCTACGGAAACAACTTGATTATCAACTCCTGTACAACCTACATAGGCAATGACAAGTACAGACAAGACTACACTTGTCTTTCTCGCACTTGCGTAGAAATGTCGCGTTGGAAAGGGAGAGTGATATGGAAATGTAAATTTTTGTAGAATTATGTCATTCCGTTGATGATTTTAATGAAAAAAAGTGAAATGTGTTTTATACGCATGAGACATATATTTTGTTTCTACAGAAAGTACGGACTTGGCACAATTACCCATTATCCAGCAGATAATTTAGCAGTAGCACTGCACGTCCGTACCTGAGCAGAACGAGCAAGAAACTCTAGGGATTGCTCTTTTCAAATAAACTTAATTATTATTGAATACACTTTGAATCATGTTCGTGTGGAATCTAGACTCATGTCATGCACATGCTTATGAGACTTATCAACTTATGTCTCAGATCTCTGAGTGGTAATGCAACTGTTATGGACAGGCGTGTCGCTTACCATCAGGCGCATGACTTGTTCGCGCTGTCACTTAGTTTCTATAAGAAAATAATGTAGGTATTAAGACATTACACCAAATTACTTAGATTAAAAATAAAGGAATACTCAAAAGTTCGTTTTTTGAAGTAATCGTACCGAAAATCGAACCCGGGGTTTCCAAATGCACCATGATCATTGAATTACGAGTATCAATCACCTTGCACATTTGTTCGCTAGTGCGCTAGAAATGGTCAACGTATCAAAATTTCTCATTGAAAATTGTACTTTACATCATCTACATTATGCTTAAATTATCAATCTAAAAGCCTGTCAAAAAGTTATGTATACATTCTACCTAATACTAGAGTTATCCTTTCTATGACCTAAGTCAACACTCTAAGCAGTCGCACTTACAAAAAAGAAATAACTTCTATCTCTTTCCAACTAATACCTGTCTCTTTCCATTTCACATTTCCCGCTCACTCGTTTAGCGAGTCTCTCTTAACTATAAACTCGTTCTCTATTACGGTTAACCTCTACACCATTATGGGCTTTAAAATAGTGAAAGTAAAGTTGTGTTTTGCGTAAGTGAAGAGAAAGTTTTAGAACCTTTTCGAAATATGGATGTATTAGTAATATGTGTCTTTCTTATTTTGCCTCATAAAGTTGGTCACTTGGCCAGTGGGTTCCTTACCGTGGCGGCGGACGGACGTCTCCGAAAAGGACAGCTAATAAAACAGAAATTAAAAAGTGAAAAAATGTCGCTACTTAAAAGAACCCAATCGATTAACAGAATATTATAAAAATAAAATGTGATTTCAAAATTAGAATCTTTAACTATTATATAAATATCATCGTTCCATTATTTAAAAAAAATCTTTTTTTAAAAGGATAGCTTTAAACGTCAAAATGACAATTCGGAGGTGGTTTGAATTTGGAAGCCGTAGTGATGTGAAACAATTGGTTTTATATATAGTGCTATTATCGATATTGGACAATTCAATATGTAATTCTGGAGGATTTGATAAAGGTAAGAAAACTCAATATACATAAAAAAAACTCACTGACCCAATTTCCAAGTGATTGAGCTCGAGACCTCCAACCGTGCTTTATTCAAGAACCGGTGTTTTTTTAATCACTGGTTTATTAGTTGTGTTTTATATCTGTAAAAATCGGTATCAAAATCCACATTTTATGAGAATAGATGATTTTGCAATTTCGTAAATGATCGATGTAAATGTAGGCACACACGGCACATAATTGTTGCTATTTTAAAATGGAAAATGATAAGGAATACATTTAAATAATAAATGAAGTTTAAAAAAAAGCTTTTCTCTCACCTAATGTCGAATAGAATAGAATAGAATTCATTTATGATAAAGCAATTCTTTCATCTTAAACTTTAGTAAATATCTTAACCGGCTGCCTCTTGAAATTATTGATTCCGCTTCAGACAACTTATTTAAAAATGTAGATTAAAACGCTGACTTGTCAAGTAATCAATATACAATTTATAATTAATTATAATTTAAATAATTTTGAATGCGACTACAATAGAATATAGGACAATAATACTTATATAATTTATATTTTCTTATGACTTTATAAATCTAAATTTTACCAATAAAGAATATCTATATCTATGTTTAAAGAACACGCGAATTTATTTACAATTTTTCAAAAACTACAATGCGTAATAAACTAATTTACAGATTTAATTACTTTGTAATTAATAAAATAAACGAAAGTTATCCCTTTTTATTTTTTACCAAAATTCAATCTCACTTTTAAGATAAACTTAATTGAAGCAGGCACCCTCGAAACGCAGACTTTTTTTTAACAGATTTTGTTACACAAATACACTATACGTAGTTAATTAAAAAGAGAACCAACCGAAAAATTCCATTCGAAGTTGTTGATTGGCAACTATTATTCGAAATAGATTTTATATTCTATATTTCAATGAAAAAATACTAAAGAATTAACTTACTTTAAAAAGATACATTTTAAACCGCATGATTCATAATTAAAGACACTGGTAATCACTTCCATCTATCTATGACAATGACGGAACTTAATCACAGTGAAGGACCTCACTTTCTCCCGGCCGTTGAGCTCTTTTGTATGGAACGTTGCTTCCTTTGCCGATTCACGTTCTCATCGACAATTGTTATGCTGTCAAAAAAATATGTATATTATTATAGACTATCGACTTATTCACGCCTCTATTATATTTTTATATTTCGAATTATTTCAATGACTTTTACAACTCTTGTAATAAAATAAAAAACAAAAATCGATTGATTAGAGCTGAACCGATTTTTCACCACTTCCTTAGCTTAGAAACTACACGCATGATTTGGATTAAAAAAAAAGTTCTTTATTTAAAAATACAAGTACGGTAAGTAAGTTCCTTGGAAAAGTAAAACTAAATGTTTTTGGTACAGATATAATCAGTCATAGGTTAAATTAAACAAACTGTCACTTTCTAAACCGCAAATTAAAAGGCTTTGTAATTGGCATAAGGTATAAATTTCAAGAAATAAATCGAGTTTTGAGGTGTTCGCGATTGCTATTCATTGGATATGAACTTTTTTTTAGTTTTATGTCGCGTATATTTCTTTTTTAAACAAACCAACGTTTCTGGCCCTTTACCTGTTCCATGGTCACGGTTGACTGAGACGTTAAAGTCGTCTGCTAGTTTTATCTAATATTTATTAGCTTGAATAGATAAAATAGTTTTGAAGGGTAAGGCTGTATGTGACACTGCAGGTACGTGGGACTTGTCAACTTATGTAACAGGGCGACGGGCGCAGTAGCAGTGTCTCAGATCTATGCGGTTTAAAGCTCTGAGTGGCACTGCAACTGTTATGGACAGGCGTGTAGCTTACCATCAGGCACACGGCTTGTCCGTCCCTGATATTACATATATAAATGAAACATTGGTTTGTTTGAAAAAAAAATGTACATAATTTAGATAAAAAAACATTGCTCAACTTCAAGAAATAATTTTACCTAATCACCATCATCATCACAAACCAAAAATGCGACCAGGGATTCACGAGAGAGAGAGGGACTCACGTTCTCCGTGCAAAATCATTACTGACAAATAAGAATAACCAGAAATAGAGACGAAATAAGGGCCGTCCATCCCTGGTAACGCATCAGGCAAATGGGCTTTATATCACTTTTAAATATCAACTCTCGTTTGCGCTGAAATAACAGATTAGAAAGCTGAAATAGTACAGCGCCAAGAACTGACCTGTGTGTACGTCTCCGTATATTCCAAAAATATTCTGTATTTTTTGTAATAAAGATAATATCTCTAACTATGGCGAGCTGTTCCATTCGGTGGTGTGGGAAAAACAGCAAAACATCTAATTACAAAACAAACCGAATCACATTTCAACGGTAATTAAATATTAAATATGTAATTTTTAAATTGTCGTCCATTATAACAATGCTCTAGTTAAACTGACGACACCCGTCAATTGTTTCGAATTCGGGCTGCCCAAGAGGAGCGCAGTTGTCACTGTAATGATTTGACAGAATAGTTTTCTAACAAATTAAATGATATTTCCAATTCAAATTCAAAATAATCTTTATTTCATAGGTAAGCATTATTACACTTGAAAATTTCGTCTCTATTTCTGGTTATATACTCGATGTATCTATCACTATATTATGGTAAACAGATTATAGTTAGAAGCATCTGTTTAGATATAAGAGTGTAAAATAAAATCGTGCCTAATGTTTTTTTTTAATTAACCCCTGAGATTCTCGATAAAGTAACCGTATTACATTTTGTACAGATAGGTTTAACAAATCCAATTCTCATCTACGTGATAATTTCAAACAGTCACAACAAGAATTAGATCACGTTACAATTCAAACTTTCGCGCGCGATTGTACATAATATGTACTACTCAAATTACATAGAAAAACAGCAAAAAAGGGAATTTCACTTCTTATACAATTTATCGATAATATCGTTATTACTTATATATTTAAAGAGTTACATCAAGTGAAACCGTAATAAAGATTTTTTCTGTTATTTTATTACGCGACTTTCTTTTATTTTAATGGCATTTTACGCAATTTTTAAATTAAAAAGCAGAAAAGAAAGTAGTTTTAATACCCGAAACTTACCAGCATCTAACTTTTTAAATGCTACCAAGGGGCGGGAGGGACAAGTCGCCTAGTACGCCTGCGTGTCGTTTACACACCTTTTATACTTTTTTAAATTTAATTCATCCGTATTTCAGAACTTCAGGCAACAACCGCCATACATTAACAAATTCAATTCATCAGATTATCAATTATTGTACCGCCATGGCCGTTTTGACAGAGTTCAACAGTGAGGTCGAATCTCAATTCATTAACGAAAAAAATGCAATCAAATGCGAGCCACATCTATAAGTTTTTAGATTTATAAGTAGTATTGCAAGGGGTAGCTGATTAAAAAGTTTTAATAAAACGAAAATAAAAATGTTTCCTTAATGTATCGTCAATTCGAAACTGCTTTGTTTTGAGGTTGAGCTTTGACGCGTGTTTGCCGGAGGTAGAAATTGTACTGGACAGCGACCGTATTAGATTTCATTTAAAAAAATTTCAAATTTCGAAAAACAAATGCCGAGTTGTGTCGTAAAATTCATAAATTTTACTGCACGGCACTATTGCCAAGAATGTGCAATGAGCTACTTCAACGTAGTTAAGAACTCTCATGCCAAAAAAGTTTCGACGTTGGCTCCGCCCAATTTTGTGAAACAGGAGACAGGAGATGTTGAATTTTGAGCAATAAAAGTACCAAATTCGTTTTAGCGTAATAACTCTAAAACTAAAGGGATTAAAAAAAAATCCGTAGTGACAGTTGTCTATCATGCATAAATATAATTAATTATCTAATTTTTGTCCTAATAACCTGTAGCATTTCGAGGATAAATCGAAAAAATTTGAAAATTAGAGGTCATTTCGTGATTTTTATCTATCGAGGAAACTTTATTGTTTTATGTTTCTGATTAATGTCTATGCTTGAATATATCGTGTAGTTACTCATACAATATTTTATTTTTAACTTTAAAGTGGGTATACCCCTCTAAAATCAAATCGAAGATTAGACATTTTTCCTCTGCTCCCTCTTAAGAATTAATACGAAACTTGATGAGCGGACAAACGTCAAAACGGCCATCATAGCATGCCGTTATGGCGTGGCGCGCGCAATGGCAGTGCACCTCAGATTTTCGCGATTTAAAGCTCTGAACGGCACTGCAACTGACATGGAGCGACAGGCCCGCTTCTTGCCCATGGGCCGCCTGACTGGTTCATCTCAATAGACCACTGGCAATTATTTCTTTCCGCAGTTCGCCTATGTCCACCTGGGTGGACCATGGGTATTTAATTCTTCCCGTAGCTCACATATGTTCTCCTAGACATTTTTTTCGTGAGTAACCTTGTTATGAAAACTGTTTAAAATTTTATTTGCACAGGTTTATAATATAAGGCTTCATTTTGAGATTAAATATTTCGTCTCAATGACAGTATTTCTTCTTCCTCCCAATCTTTTCCTAACAATACCTATTACGGTTTTATGGGCTTAAATACATGTCTACATTTTTATTTTTGCTAAGTTATTACCAAAACTTTAAAAGCAATCCCGTAGCAAAAAGACAAACACGCTTAGTTACTGAATATTGCAAGAGTTGGACCGGTTGCCAAAAGTTTCTCGAACCGGGAAGTGACCTGATTGGACACTGACCACTGAGCCATCGGGGTCATTGTATTGTAAGCTATGCGAGGGTGACAATTGGGGTGTATTTTCGTGTATCTGTCTGTATCTTCAAATTATTATTTTTAACCGACTTCAAAAAAAGGAGGAGATAGATAGATAGATAAACACTTTATTGCTCACACACATGAACAAGAACAGTACATAAACAACTTAAAACTAATGTGGGCAAAGGCGGTCTTATCGCTAAGAGCGATCTCTTCCAGACAACCTTAGAGTTAGAGGAAAGCTAATCGGAGCGGGAG